AACCCAAGTCTGGCAGCCTTCCTGATATGCCTGCACTTGGCTTTGTAATGACTGCATGGAGTCAGGAGGGAAGGAGACCTGAAATTTCCATAAAGACAAGGCACTGTGCTGTGGCCATTGGCCTGTGGGGAGCTGAGGGTATGGTCACACTTTTCCCCATCACTCGACCATTGGTAAACTGAAGGAGAAGATGCTGTTAGAACACCAATAACTAAGGAATGTAAGGGAGTCCTGGATTCTCAGGGCTGTTTAATGTTAGTTGCAGGCTCTCAAAACAAAGGGCTCAGGGCAAAAGCCAAAGTGATCTTGGGGAGCACCCGGAGGGGAGTCCTCTCTACACCAGCCACTGGTGGTAAAAGTCAAAAAAGTGTGATAAACCACTCCTCAGCAGAGTCCTGAGAGTTACTTCAGGGCTCTCCCAGAGTCAGTGGTCTTTGCTTCTTCCTGAGAAGAAACACATCAGCTCTATTCATAAGTCCATTGTGATGGTCACGTTTCATTCCCTTTTGGTTAGAGTCAAATTGTTTCTAAATTATAAGTGCACTTATGTTTACTTACTTTCTCTCTCCAGGAAATGCAGAGCGTGACAAAGTCATTGGTAAGTACCACTGGAATTAGTGCTTCCTTTTGTTACCCTTATTGCAGTTATACTGAAAACAAGTGAATTGTTTTGTTTACAGAGGATCCCAAGTGGCATCCAGAGTGGGACAGACCTGCATGTGATGAGTTCTGCATCTCCATTATTGCTTTAAGATCACTTCTCCTAATACTGACAACTGTGGCCACCTGGCTCTTACCAAAATATTGGTCTCTAGTACCTGCCAGTGGGTAACACACATATAGAAGACCACAAGAGCACTTGGCTCAACTCATCTCTTCCATTCACATGAGTTACAGGCAGCACAAACATTGGTAGAGACATTGTTTGCATCCACAAGTGATTTAGAAGTACAGAAATAACATCTTCATTGCACGTCGTAGTTACAAGCACTGATAAGCAGCTTTCTCATTGCTCAGAACCAGTTAAAAGTTAAAATGGTTTTAGATGTTAAAATTTCTTTAAAAGTTACAAAGTTAATATACTTTTAAAGTGGAGCAGTGTGCATGTGATCTGGTGGGTACAGGAGCACATTGTCCAGGCAGTATGCTAAGGTGCAGGCAGCTCTCCAACACACGTCAGGAAGGGCTGGAGAGTGTCAGGCCAGGAGCCAGGCCCCAGCCCACAGCCAAGGCGCAGGCAGAGCATGCACCTGTCTCATTCCTATTGCACTCTTATCTTGGGCGCTCCTACAGCAAGATGCAGAGTGGCCTTTATAATTAAAAAAAAAATTTTAAGGAATTTTTGGATCCCTGTGAGCTCTGGAATTCGCATCCTGTGGCAGGCAGCACACTTCCCAATCTCACAGAGCATTTGTACTTTGCTTTGCTTAGAATTTGTTTTTAAACTCATGGTATCTGTGCCTAAATAGTTTCACCTGTTTACATGGATATATATCACTGCAATCTTTCCTGTTGTGGTTTTTTTGGTTTTTTTTTTTTTGAGCATAGGGTTTTACTGCTGTTTCAAACAATAAATTGTTATTTCCTGCTTCCTGTGTGCGGCAATCATGAATTTGCAACATGAGCTAAGGCTTACCTGCTGGTGCACAAAATAATGGATTCAGCTCCAACTTGCACAACACTAGAAACAATGCTGGGAAAGACAGAACTCCAAATGAAATCACACTGTGCCCATAGTTACAACTTTGGTTCAACAGCTGCCAAAAAATAAATCTGGAACCTGCACATCTGGAGCAGGCAGAAGGCTGTGGGGACAGCTGCTGTGTTCAGCTCAGTATGTCCTCTACCAACCACAGTCACTCAGCTCAAGCAGAGTCTGGAAGCAGCAGAGCTGCACAAACTCACAGCTGGATCACAACAATCCCTGTTTATACTTTTAGAAGCTTCTGCACACACTGCTGTAGAGGAAGCTGGGAAGTTCCCCTCACCTCTTCATTTCTGTGTACTGTCACCACAATGCCTGTCAGTGTTTCTGCATGCCCACTCCTGACCCTCACACCTGATCTTACTACTAGCATGGATTTTAACTGAAAACACTGGAACTGGGGCCTAACATTTCTCACATTACACTTCCAGATAGTTATCTGCTAGTACTGCTTGTACTAGAATAATTTCAATATTGCAGCATTCCTAGAATGAATCATTTTTCAAAATGCAAATATAGCTGGGGACCAAATTACAAATATAATGCTTGATTTATATATATATATATATATATATATATATATATATATATATATGTCTTTTATATATGTATATACATCTTTATTTGTTGACTATTGGAGCCTCCTTAGCCAAGACAGCACACTCACTCTTGTGTGAAACCCAAGCCTCAAGCTCCATGTATTGCAAAGTCCCATCTAAAAATCGGCTGCAAGTGGCACGTGGGCAGCAGGACTGAATGTGTGGGCACTGTCCTGCACAGGGCTCCACAGCAGACCACCAGCACCATCTCTGCCCCCCACGCAGGGTAATATCCTACTACTGGAAAGAGGAATGCAGGGAAGGGAATCGGATACACTGATGTGTGCAGGGAGCTTAAAATGAGCTCTGCAGGAGTTCTCCCCTGATTTGTTTAATTAATTAGAAGTCTCCAGGAGAAGATACAGAAGCAATACAGAGACCTTAAAGTTCAAAATGTTAACACTTTCATTTAACTATATACTTAGGTAGCTCTTAGGAAATCCTAAAAAAGACCTTCCTGAAAAAAACTGGGGGCATAGGGGGATTGGGTTAATCTTTACCCCAAACTTTACAATGTGGCATCTTTCAAACAAAAAAAAGCTTGAAAATCAAGAAGTCAAGAGGAAATAAGCAGCTTTGCCATTTTAAGGATATAAAAAAATCCAGGTGTTTATCTCTGGTTGATCAAACCACTTTGAATTGTTCACATGGCATATTTCCATGAATTCAGCATGATAAATGCAAAATACTGATACGGAAATACAGACTTAAGGCACATTTTTGGAAGTCTGTAAACTCTAAAATCAGTTTAAGAACATAATGTACAATAGTTCAAGGTGTTCTGAAAATACAAAAAAATCCCTTCACTTTTACAAGCCCACTTTATTATTTATGTTTTACACAAGTCTTATAACTGTACTGCCATATTCTGTCAGAAAACAGGTGCACACAGCACCAGCAAGTGACACCATGCCCCTTTCTATTCAGATATGGACTCCTGGGCAGACAAATCCTTTGGCTTGCCTATGGGAATATGAATAAGCTTTCTTCATTTTCCAGTTTAAGTAATTCATGTCCTACCAACAATCCTTGAAACTTGTCAACAGTAACAACCAAGAAATACTAAACACCATGTGATGCCTTTCCACCCCATAACAATAGGACAAGATTTCCTGCAGTGTACTAAGAATTTTACTGGAGAGGAAGATGTCATGTAAAAGCTACATAAATGACTCAGCTGGGCGTCCTAATTTTTAAAAAGTGCACTTTCATGGAAGTAAACATAATTTAAAGCCAGGCTGCTCCAAGTTAAGCTACATTTTCCTGCAATGCAACTCAGGCACCCAAGAAGTTAGCAGATGCAGCTGAAAACTCCCTTTTTTATAGGATACTTACACAGCCAGATTCCTGAAATGATATGCCAGTCTAAAAGACCAGTGTGATACAAAACAGCAGTACACTTGTTTTTAACTTATAAAAAAAAACAGGCAGGGGAATGTGTACCACTCCTCTGTCATGAAAGAGGCCTGATGCAGTTCAGATGAAAACCGAGGCCCCTCCCTCCCCTAATACACTCATGCTCCTTCCCTGGCTTGTCAAACTCCTCCTTAATGGGTCCTCGCTCTGCACTCTGCTGCTGAAGCACGTTTATGAGAGCAGGAATTTAAACTCAAGTATTGCAGCGTCTCCTGTTGAAATCAGTTATTTCACTACATGAGAGGTCTACCCACCATGCCCTGAACTTTAGTCTCCCTTTTACTCTGCCAACTGCCAAACACCACGATGATGGTGTTGATGTTTCTAAAAAGGTTTTCATAGTGCTAGTATCACTGAACCCATCAGATCACGAGTTTTTGAGATGGGTGGCTTGTGACTTTGGCATTATGTTCTCAGTGAAAGATGCTTAAATAGTATTTTCTGATTGATGCCAAAAGAAACTCCCACTTATGAACAATTCAGTCCCTAAGAAAAGGGGGGAGTATTTTTTCCTTAACAGTTAAGTGCCAAGAATTCTTCACATAATTGAAAGGTCCACTTAGGGTGATGTGCCCTACCCTAGAGGGCAAGAACCAGAGCTATGGCCCAATGCACATGTGCTATCTAACCAAATATATTCTCAAGTCTTATTTATTTGTGAGGGAAAAAAAAAAAAAAAGAGGATGTGGTTTCACCTACTAGTTTCAAATACAAGGTCACTAACCTAAAAGGCATTGAGCTGCATCCTTCTAGGAGAATAATTTCCACTGCATGTGCAGTGATCAAAATTCCAAAACCCAGCAAAAGCACTCAGAGCCATGAAATTAGGTGTGGCTCTATCTCCTCATTACATTTGTTTCTTTAATCTCAGATGTGTGAAATAAGCAACAGCTGCTCTGCTGGTGCACTTTATTTCATCACATTTCAGTTTCAGGAAATTGAAAAACCTCTAAACTTCCTTTAAAATAGGTGAAGTGCCTCAAAAAAAAAAAAGAGGAACACAATTTTTTAAGACATTCTTGCAAGAAGGAAATAAACTAAGAATATATTTAAAGGTAAATAACCCAACTTTTTGCTTTTCCTACAGCACAATCCCTATGTAAAGACACTTTGTACCATATTCTGTGAAAAACCCATCAGGATAATGCTAATAAATTACAGTTTAATAATGGTATGCAATGAAGATTAGGGTTTGTCTGATTTTCAAATAAAACTGTGAGTTTGTTTCCTGGACAACATAATGGAGGTTGTGCAGTAGATTAACTATGGATTTAAGAACATTGTATTAAAATAGTTTATTAACATTGAGACAAGACACACAAATATAATCAGCTTTTACAAAAATAAAAGCATAACACAGTAATAAATCTTGCCCATTTAGCAAAAGTTATCACCACAACTTGAGGCTGCATATTGTCTGGTAGTCTTTCACAGAATTACCTTGAGCTTCACCGCTCAGAGTTCTCTGTCACTGTTTAACACTCCACATCAAACTGCTGAATGTTTCTATTTTGAAACCTTCCCTTCAGACAGATGGGTATTACCCAAATACATTCTCTTACTTTCTCAACACAGTAGCATGTATTTTCTTCACCAGCCTGTACAGCTATTGTAGGTCCACTAATTAAACTGTACTTAGGAAAAGAGAATGGTCTTTCTACTTAGTCTTTTCTTGTCCATATTAACCTGACAACAAAAAATCTCCCATCTTCCAAGTGTAGAAATGTTCATTGTCAGAGGCGACAAGTAAAGGTCCTGGGTGGTGAATTACTTCTTTTTCTTTTTTTTCTTTTCATCTGCTGCCATTTTTAACTTTACTTCTTCCTCAGGGAGTGCTCCTAATTTCTTCTTCTTTGCATTCTTTACCTTTTCTTTGATGGCTTCAATATCAATCTTTTTCTCAGTGGAGGCTACAGAGTAAGAAATACAAAGGTAACAGACATGAATTTTACTTCTGAAAAACTTCAACAGTCTACAAGAAGACTATATATATATAAACATAGTAAACTGCATCCTGTGGCACTGATTAAGACTCATTTTATGTTCCTAATGATTTTATAGATTATTCTAATAATAATTTTTTGGAAGCTAGTATTATCTACAAATCTTATTCAGCAGAATTTGAAGAACAATTATATAAAAAAAATCCCATACAACAACATTTGAACACAGATACTGCACCCACAGACATACAAACTCTTATCATCTCCTCAGAACACAGATGTACTCCTCTGGAATTAATACATACACACTCTTAGATATAGGCTTGATTGATCTTGCATAAGAAAGGAAGTTAAATGCTGAGTGCTTACATGCAGAGAAGCTTTTATGGCTTCATCTTGCTGTAAGAAACTAAAGTGCTAAGATCCCAGACATGCCTGTCCCATCCTTATACTCTCTCAGTGATGGCCACTGTCATACAAAGGATGAGGAAGGGTGGGTTGGGGGAGTATGATGTAGATCTTTGACCCCTGCATGAAAACCTTTATTAAAAACTTCTACAGTGAATGCCAGAATACTGAAGTTAAAGACGTAGTGCTTAGTAACATAAATAACCTACTCTTATGTTCACAGAGGTGATGTGATTTTCTCTTTTGAGCATAAGTCATGAGTTTGGATCTAACTTTCCTATCTCACAGTTAATTCCTAAATCTAATGGTGGGAACCATACAAACTGCTCCCGTTATCTGTTCTTGGAAGACTGAGGGATTTCAGCTCACTACACACAACAGCTAGAAAAGCACCACATTTGAGACATAGTGCAAACAACAACAGGATCACTGGAAATTTACTGCCATCACAGCAAAAGAAGGTGCTACACACAGTGCTACAAAACACATGCTTTTCAAGAAACACAAACTTTAAAGTTCCTAAAAAATCGTGTAATATACAGTGTAATAATATGTAGGTAGTATAGCTAAAAGTATACATAATACTATGAATATGAAGCATAATCAATGAGAACTAAAGACTTGCTTCTCTAGTGCATTAAAAAAATTAATCATTTGAGAACATAAGCTCTCATTCTGCACATTCTGTGGTTTTACTTTAACCTTTAGAAAAGCTATTTACTCTATCTTGTATCAAAGCTGTCATGTAAGTTTGTAAAGTATTGCCTTCTGTTTACTTGAACATAAAATTCACGATGAAGCTAGAAAAACCAATTGAGATTGACTCTTCAATGGAGAACTGCCATTTTATAGGTATAGAATTATTGGCTAGATGATCTTTCTACTGTCCCTGGCAACTCTGGGCATGCATCTTACCACCAGGATTTTTTTTGCATGACCTTTCTTTTTCCTGTATTTGCAAAAATCACTCAGCCTAGAAATTAACAACAGAAGGTTTTAGAACATGAAAAAAAAATTGTTACCTTTCTTTGTTTTCACAACTGGCTTTTCCTTTGGTGGGATAAAAGCTTTATTTCTTTCTTCTTGTCTTCTCTTGATTGCATCTGCTTGCTTTGCCTGAAGTTATCAATAAAAAGGTCAAGTAGCAATAGTGCAGGGCAAGAAGGACAAAAAAAAAAAAACAGATTCCAAGTAAGCAATCAAATGCTTTTTAACTGGACCCTGGATTAGTGCAACTTTACCTTTATCTCTTCCATTTGCTTGCGTTTCTTCTGTCTTTCTTTCAAGAAGTATTCGCCACTTGCCAATTCTTTATCAATCTGTGCAAGGCAAGTAGCAAGAAGCCTTAGTTAATTATGCATTATAAGCCAGATGTGTAATATCAGGGAATCAGAACAGGACAGAAAAAGCCTCCCCATCTCTTTTCACGATGAAAACAATATCAGGTGTGCTATATTCCAGCATAACCAAATAAAAGTTTCAACTGACCTGACTTTCTGGCTGCGGAGGTGGGAATGGTGTGTACTCCTTCTTAGTATTTTTCTTCTTGGGCTCCTTGCGTTTTTTCAAGTTCTTCCGCTTGAATTTAGGCAAAAATCTTTCCCAACTTTGTGTCCTCAGTTCAGGATCTTTTGCTAATTCCCTTTTGATCATCAAAGTCTTCAGTAGTTTCAGAACGTCACAAAGAAGTTATTTTAAAAAACGAGTATTACGGTAGAAGCCAAGAATTCCAAAATAGAAATTTCACTAGACTTTCTTACAGGGAATATGCTACATCCAAACCTTCCACATCTCACTTCAGTAAGAGCAGAGGGGCTTAATCATGAACAGCAGAACCAGAAAGATGTCTCAAAACAGGGACAGAATGCACTGGAGAAGATGCTTCAGTTTAAATGAGCAAATATCAAGCCAACAATCAAAGGGGAAAGTTTATATACACTTTTCCTTTGATTTTGCAGATCCTGCCATAACGATGTTATGGCAATGTATCCTAGTAAAACGAAGGCTATCAAAGCCAGTGGTTTTTATAAAGCAGCATACTACAGATATTCTCAAAACCAGATTACCACACAGAAATATGTAAGTTATTAACATATAACCCTCTGGGAAGAAATAGTATTTTCATGTAAACAAAGATGCACAGTGGACCACGCTAACCTTGATGTTATATATGGGATGTATATTCTTCATTGTGTCCAGAACAACTTTTCTAACCTGTATTGAATACAACAGAAAAAGAACAGAAAACTCAGCAAGTATTTCATATGCTAATCAATTAAAATATCAGCTATAAAGTATCATGCTTCCTCTCCCAGCCTCTGCCTCTCCAAAGTATTAAGACTTAAAATTACAGAAACATCAAGGGTGGAGAAGACCTCGAAGATCATTGATTCTAGCCTTTAAAAAGCTAAAGCACAGGCTTAACTGGAAGGAACAGCAGTTCAAAAATGCCAATAATATTGTCATGCTTCTAGTAGACTCCAGCAGGCCCCACAAACATTATTTTCATGTTACCATGGATCTTATGGTGTCATGAGGAACTTCCTTTTGACAAGCACTCTTCTCCCACACAGAGCATCTGTATGTGTTTTTATAACTTTCTTCCAAGACAGATTGTAGAGTCTAAACAAAATTCAGCAGCTAAGATGATAATGCTATGGACATTCATGTAAATGTAGCTTACTAACACACAGCTGAAAGGTCAGTGAGATGCTGCTGAGGATGCCAGATATTGTCTCTCACCAATCCTTGAGCTGGGCACAGAAGTTTGTGTTTGCTACACAAAGGGCTCATGTACCTCATCTTACCTCTTTTAGCCCACTAAAGGGTCCAAGAGCTGAAACGGTGTTGCCTTGCACCATAATATAACAGTTTGTTAAGAGTTCCAAGGCCTACACCAAAAAAAGAAATGAAATTAGTATAATATGAAAACCTGGCACAAATTTGGGTCTCAGTATTATCTGGTTACTACACCTATAGGAAATACCTTCAGAGTAGATCCTTTTGGCCCAAGAAGCCGTGCTCTTCTTTTTATAAAAGTCTCTCTCTTCCTCACCAGAGAGCCTATCTTAATGATGTCACATGCAACATCATCCTGAAGGATACGAACTGCCTAAAAAGATGCAGGCAATACCATCTGAATTCAAATGTATTACTCATAAGAGAATACTTCAGTTTATTCTTCTCCCTTTACTTTCAGATATATTTACTTTAAATATATATTTAATTTTACTTGACTCAACTGATATTTCCGCATTTTAAAACGTAGTATTTTATAAATATTATGAAAGAATTTAAGACAAAACGTAAGCATTATGATGGATAAAAACTTTCAGGATTTATTACAGACCTGCTCAAATGGAACACTTCTTGCCAGAAGTTTTATTAAGTCTCTAGCCCTAATGATTGCATACGGATCAAAAGTCTTCTTAGTAGTAGTGACAGTCATGCTTCCTTCAATTAGATCCAGCGCTGCGTTCACATACTGCAATATTTGAAAAGAAACACCGGATCAGTATCACGATTCAGTTTTGGCAGTAAGCAGTTAACTAACAGAACGTAGAGCTATTTTCCAAAATTTCTTGTGTGACTTTTAGCTTAAGAAAATTCACACACACAAGAGACAAAACCCAGATTGAATATGTGTCACAAGGCCCAAAGCACCACCTCCGTCATCTCCCTGAACTGAACCCTGTTCCTGGATGATGAGATATTTGCTGCTGCAAATACTTTGCTGACAGCATTTGTAAAGAACTGCAAGTCTGGCTACACAGTTCTTCACAATTCAAGCACAGCAGAAATTTACAAATACTGTATGAGAAAAGCAACTTGCACTACGTTTTTAAACTTAAATAAGACCTCTATGTCCCAAAAAGTAAAGTGCAGTATCACAATTATTAAGAGTTCATACAAGTTCACCCAAGGCTTTCTGGACAAGTGGCCAGCATTCTTTCAAATAGGCTTCTCTATACTTCGGGAACAATGTTGCAAAACTGCTTTCTTCCAGCAGCCCTTTGGGATTATCCTCCCTTGTAAAGGCTGGCTCTTTCCATCCATCTGGCACAGTGAGAAGTTCAGATTCATCAACTGTTATTAAAAAGAAAAAAAAAAGCTATTGTTATAAGACGATTGATTTAATACATTGTTGAGTGCAGTTTACATCTCTTCTGACGTTAGAAAAATTACTGTTTTAAAGTATTTATATTTAAAAAAAAAAAAGAAGAAATCCGCCGCTGAGATATGCCCTGTTGATCGCGTACATACCAGATTATCCAGGTATATTACACAGAAACAAGGCACAGACTGAGGCGAGGACGCCGAGTACCTCGAGGGCGGGCACATCGCAACACTGCACTGCCGCCGCCGGCCTCAAGCACCCACCAGCCACCTCTACCCTCCGCAGCGCCCCGCGGAGGGACCCTCAGCCCGCAACCCTCCCGGCGAGCCGCCAGCCCCGCACGGTCCCGAGTCCCGCCACACCTGGCGCCGCTTTCTTCTTGGTCTTGTTCTTCTGCTTTTCCCTCTGCTTCGGCCCGGGCCCGGCCTCCTCCTCGGGCACGGCCGCCATGTCCGCGCGCGCGCCGGAAGGGGCGGGGCCGGGCGCTGCTGCCGGAACTTCCCCCTGTTCGTGTGGGCCGGCCCGGCCGGAGCCTGCAGCCGACAACGTGCAGGAATACCCCGAGTACTTCCGTGATCCTAACTAAAGAAAAGGCGTTCAGATGACACCTGATTTTTCAGATTAATAACTTACTATTCAGTTGATGAATCTGGATAATAAATAAGTAATTTAAGGTTTTCTAGGGGATGGTCTGCATCCTCCTCCCTGCCCCTTCTTGTACCTGTAACTGAGCATTTCCTTCAATGAAAGAGCAAGAATGTGCCTCCTCCGCTCTCTTTCATGGAGACCATGAAAAGCCAATGGGGTGAAAAACTGGAGGAGACCTTTAAGAGCAAGAACACCCTGGGGCAGCAAAGTGTTGTCTTTGGCAGGTGTTCATCGCATCTGTACATAAAAACCTGCACTCTACGATGTTTAATTACCTAAACGATAAGAAAGAGATTTCTATCACCTGATCTATACCTAAGTAAAATACTAATTTAAAAATCAATTTAAACGCTCCCAAAACCTTTCCTTCGGACCTGGCTGCTCTTTCCCCTCCGTCTGCCAGCCCTTTGCGCACCTCCATCTCCCACAACGAACAGGACTTCCAAGGTCCTTTCTGTCTGCAAGCTTGACATGGAGTTGATGCGAGCTTTTAGCCATTCATTTTAATTTCTGGCTGTCAACATCCTTCAAACAGGGCGCGGGAGCTGTTCCCAAAGGAGGGAAAGAGGCGGAGGGGGAAGGCGGTGCCTGCGGCGCTTTGGGAAGGCTGGTTATCCATTCCCGATCCCCTAGATGGCACTGGCCGCCGCGCTAAGCCCAGCATCCCCAGCGCAGCTGCCGCCAGCCCTGTGGCTTCCGCGGCAGGGACAGCACCGGCAGGGAGGGAGGAAGGGAGGCGGTGGGGAATGTGCTCCCCCTCCGCCCACGCAGCCCTACCCCGCCCGGCACAGGGCTTTGGATGCCGAGTGCCACTGACATTGAAAGGTTCCGTGGCCGTGGACAAGCACAGGGAGGCAAATTTGCCTCTGTCAACTCTTGGACACAGAAGCTTTCGGGGGCTGGTGTTCCTCAGCGCTGCAAAGCCTTTGAGCGCAGGACGGGGATCCCGCCCGGCTACAGGCACCCGGTGGATGCGCAGGGAGGGCTGGGGGTGCTGGGGCGGCGGCGCGGTGAGCTCCGTGAAGCGCACACTGCGCGTCTCTCTCACCTGAAACCTGGCCACGTGTTGTGAAAGCGCTGAAAAGCAGATTTGGAAGGAGTTTGAGGGAGCATAATTAATTTAGTTCTGCTCTTGTTTAGTGTCTGACGACTCCTCTGGTGCAGCCCACCAAAGAAATCACGGGAGTGGGCTGTGGA